GATTTAATTTAAAGACTCGAATAACAGTTGTTCCACGTTAATAGAAGTAACGGAGGTGTGGTGGGATTGTGCTACATTATATGTATCCGAGGTAGTGTGAATTATTGCATATAAAAAAGAGAAAAAGGATGAAGAAACAAAGACTCTGGGTGGCATATCTAGAAAGACCCCAATGGAAGTAAGTCACTCTGTGACTTGTTTACATATGTGTAAATTTCCTAGGAAACTTACACATGTAAATTTCCTAGGAAATTTACACATATCTAAATTTCCTAGGTAATTTACACACATGTTACTATGTATGATAATTTGTGTAACTGTACCTAAATAAACTTAGAAGTTAGTCAGTGAAGAGGCGGGGTCAGGAGCTGAGTGTCGACCCCTTCAACCACAATTAGGTGAGACAATTAGGTGAGGTAGACTACTATGGGACGAAATCGTTACGGCTCTAGTTTAGGAAAATGAGATAATCTTCGAAGATTATAAATTCAGTGAAGTTAACTGAACTCTTCGAGTGGAAATCTATAGAGTCGAACTCATTCCAGGAGGTGATCCAAGACTGCTTTTTAAAGCATTACACAAATAACCCGCACAAGTGCGACCATGGTGTAATAGCGCACAAAATGTGTAATAAAGGAATAACAGGAAAAGTCGGTAGATGGATCTATAATTTCCTAACAAATATAGCACAAAGAGTAGTAGTCAATGGAGTAAAGTCTGAGGCGGCTACGGTGAAAAGCTCTGTTCCGCAAGGCACAGTACTCGCCCCAGTCTTGATCCTCATCCTCATATCGGACATAGACAGGGATATAAGCCACAGCGCAGTATTTTCCTTTGCAGATGGCACTGGAATTTTCATGACAGTGTCCTCCACTGAAGACACTGCAAGACTCCAGGCGAACATCAACCAAATCTTTAAATGGTCTGCAGAAGATAATATGAAGTTCAAGGATGAGAAATTCCAATTACTCCGATATGGAAAACGTGAGGAAATTAAAATTTTTTCAGAGAAAAAAACAAATTCCAACCACACAATAGAGCGAAAAAACAAATTTTCCCAAAAGAACTAGGGGTGATCAGGTCAAGGATCTAACCTCGGGGACCAAAAACATTGTATCAATCGCATCTGCTAGAAAAATGACGGTGGATAATGAAAACTTTAAAAAATAGGGAGCCAAGCCCATATAACCCTTCAGGTCGCTTGTTCCTACTGGGCTGGAATATTGCTGCACACTAACAGCACCTTCAAGGGGGGTGAAATTGCTGACCTAAAAATGTACAAAACCCTTTCACGGCACCATAACACGATAAACACCCACTTACTGGAACGCTTGAAGTCCCTAAACCCACCCCCTTGAAAGCAGGGGGGAGAGATAATATTTATATAACCTGGAAAACCCAAGGGACTAATCCAAACTTGCACACAAAAATCACTCCTTACGAAAGCAAAAGACTCGGCAGATGGGCAACATCCCCCCAAGAAAGGGCAGGGGGCCAAAGGGGCCGTTAAATTTCCCCTTCCAGCTACATCAGGGGAAAAACCAAAGACCCTTATGAGGACGTTTGGGTCCAACTTGACCATTAACTAAAAAACAAAACATTCCAAATCGGATCGAAACTTCCAAAACCGTTTTCTCTGTCCAATGTGGAGTTATTTGTGTATTATTTCGTCACGGTATTGTAAAAAATTGTGTTCTTTTTTAAAATTTTAAAATGATTAAAAGTAGTTCTGACAAAGTCTCTCGTAAAAAAAAATCAAAAATTCAAAAGAGCTTTCACACCCCTTTTTTCAATGGCTTTTAAATTTTTATAAAATTTCGATAATAAAAAATGATCAACAAAATCGCCAGAAAAAACCTCGGGGTGATTGCGATGGACTTATAAACCTTTTAAAATTTTTTATAGTGAGAAAAACTACAAGAACTATAAATTTTACATGGTGACTGGAAAAAATAACATCGCTGTACGTAAACACTAACATGAACAGCACTGATGTTGCTACTTGTGTTAATGTTAACTATGGTGAGGGATCACGAATAAGAACACAGATACGAAGTTCGATCCCCGTACGGATGGAAACATTAGGACGTGTTCCCTTAGAACACCTGCTGTTCCTGTTCACTAAGCAATAAAGAAATACCTGGGTGTTAGCTAATTGGTGTGGATCGCATCAAGGGGACAAAATTAACCTAAGTTGCCTGAAATGCAATTCATAACAAAGGGCTTTCTATATAGTATCTCACCGATGTCATCCAGGCCTGTGTAAGTTGTAAATGCACTTGCAGAAATAAAAAAAAATGCTACCAGCACATATGAAACTTTGAGCTGTATCAGACTGTATATTTGCCAAGTTGTAATTACCTACTTGTGTTTGCGGGACTCAAAACTTAGCCCCTGGCTCCGCCTCCTAGACAACTTTTATCAGCATTACTTCTGGCCTCTCGGGCCTTATCCTATCTATTCCCGAAGCTGTGTATTGAGTTTGCCTCCACTGCTGCCTCCTGGCCTCTCGGGCCTTATCCTATCTATTCCCGAAGCTGTGTATTGAGTTTGCCTCCACTGCTGTTTCGTTCAAGCCATTCTTCTTTTTAATCACTCTGAGGCTGAAGAAATACAGTACGTTCTTAGATCCCTGCGGCTCACCTGTGATTTCATCTCCCACCTGTCCTCTTGATCCTCTTAAAGCAAAACGTCTGTCCCTGTCTGCCCTATGAATTCCTCTTAAGATTTTGTATATACGCCTGCAACCACCTATTTGTGGTTGCAGGTGTCGAGTCACAGCGCCTCTTCGCTGGTCGCTACTTTTCCACTCTCTCCCTGCTCCATGAGCTCTATCATATCTCTTCTTAAAGCTATGTATAGATCTTGCCTCCACGACATCAGTTTCCAGATTGTTCCACTTCGTGACAAATCTATGACTGAAGAAATACTTCCTAACATCCCTGTGACTCATCTGAGCTTTTAACTTCCAGTTGTGACCCCATGTTGTTGTGTCCCATCTCTGAAACATTCTGTCCCTATCCACCTTGTCAATTCTTCTCAGTATTTTATATCATGTCTTCCCTATCTCTTCTGTCCTCCAGTATCGTCAGGTCGATTTCCCTTAACATCTCCTAGTAGGACATACCCCTCATCATCGGGACTAGTCTTTTTGCAAAGCCTTCCATTTTCTTTAGTTTCTTGATGTGTTTGACCAGGTGTGGGTTCCAAACTGGTGGTTCTTACGCAAATATGGAACTGGCGTACACGGTGTACAGTTTGTGTGTGTGTACTCACCTAATTGTGGTTGCAGGGGTCGAGACTCAGCTCCTGGCCCCGCCTCTTCACCGAGTTCTACTAGGTACTTCCTCTCCCTGCTCCACGAGCTTTATCATACCTCATCTTAACCCTTTCAGGGTCCAAGGCCCAAATCTGGAGTCACGCACCAGTGTCCAAGAATTTTCAAAAAAAAAATTTGTTATTTTTTCTTATGAAATCGTAGAGAATCTTTTTGTGAAGGTAATAAAACAAAAAGTACGAAATTTGGTGGAAAACTGACGAAATTATGCTCTCGCGAATTTTGATGTGTCAGCGATATTTACGAATCGGCGATTTTGCCGACTTTGACTCCCATTTTAGGCCAATTACATTATTCCAATCAACCAAATTCTTAGCTATTTCACTAGTATTACTTCTATTCTATCGATTGAGCACAAGAAATCGCCAAGTCAAACTGTTTCAACTACAAAATAAAGTGATCGGAAATTGTTAATTTGGCCAATTTAACACAAAGTTCAAAATATTTCCAATTTCAAAATAGGGTCCAGAATGAACAATGTAGGCATTCCTGGCACTAAACTAACATTTCCTCTGTTCATTAGTTATGTTTTGAGGCTTTACAAATAAATTCCATTTTGATTTTTTATTCACACCAAAAAATAGAAGATTTACTGTTATGCAATACTGTAATAATTGTATAAATATCATCACCATATTTGTGAATGTATATTAGACCCACCAGCTGACGTGTATTAGACGTGTGAGGTCGCTTGTTTACTCTTGAATATCGGCAAAAATTTAACATTTCCGCTACTTTGAACTCAGTTTCAAGTCATTTCCAGTGCTAAAACCAATCAAAATCATCTCTATTTCTGTAATATGTCTTCCATTCTATCAAATGAGACCAAGAAATCGCAAATACAACTATAAAAAACATACGAAAAAACACTGCAAAGTTGCTGTTTTAATCGAAAAATCATGATTTCATTTTTTTTCTCTCATTATACACAGTGTGCTGCAGGATCTGTTTTATGTGGTGCACACATACCACATAGATGTATTCTCTCATATCTAGGCCCAAATGTACCACTCACAGTTTATCAGAGTGAGCTGAGCTCATGGCATAGATCTATGGTTTGGACCCTGAACGTAAAGCCGTAGATCTACGGGACGGACCCTGAAAGGGTTAAAGCTATGTATGGTTCGTGCCTCCACTACCTCGCTTGCAAGGCTGTTCCACTTCCTGACTACTCTATGACTGAAGAAATACTTCCTAACATCCCTTTGACTCATCTGGGTCTTCAACTTCCAATTGTGATTCCTTGCTTCAGTGTCCCCTCTTTGGAACATCCTGTCTTATATTTGCAGAGTCGTGAAGGAAAGCCCATCCTAGCCTTGTTCTCGCCTGTAGGTCTATCCGGGAACTGAGAGAGAGGCATGGTGAGCGACGCCCACCTACAGCACTATGTGACGTCACACATGCTAGCCCTAGGCCAAGCAGGAACCTTATATATAAAATATACAGATGGTACTAACTACGATACTCATATATGCTACACACGCATATTCAGTAGCTATACTGACACACACACACACACACACACATACACACACACACAAACACACGTGTGTGTGTGTGTGTGTGTGTGTACTCACCTAATTGTATTCACCTAATTGTGGTTGCAGGAGTCGAGACTCAGCTCCTGGACCCGTGCTTTTAAGATTGTTTTTGTTGCACACGTACAAATAAAATCATCAAAAACTTCCTATGGCCTATAGAACACTAAAACACTACATCATACATAACTCTATGACACACCTATAATACCACACTAGCACCTGCTAGACTCGTCACTTCCTTATTCACCTCTCTCTCTCTCTCTCTGTCAGTCTCGCCTCAAATGCATTCACTTGCCATTCACATGCGTTCATTTTTTATATTTTACAACAATGCAATATCATGCATATTATTGGCCACCTTACTTATTGGAAGAACAGCATACCTAGTGAGTAATTCTTGTCAGGTCAATAGACACAGATAAAACTTATGTGACATTTGGTTTTATAGCAAATAACATATGCGACCAGCGGGAGATCGAAACCGAGTTATTTAACCAGCCTCCCAGGAATGTAGCTAAATTTTCGGCGCCTTAGTCCACTACACCACTATGCTTCAAACGTTGGGTGTCCAGACACTGAACATGTCACTACTAATGCTGATGGAGTGAGTGAGGCACTCACCTTGTCGTAGAAACACACAGTAGGCTGAGGGTCACTTGGCTGGGAGAGTGGAGGGGAGAGTGGAAACCTGAAGGTGATGTTGTTTATTTGTGGTGTGGGCGCCTGCCATATATCAGACACTGTGGGAACGTTGCTTATTGTAACAGGTTTTCGAGTACTACAATATTATAAGAACACTGTTAAAAAAAATCATAGAAAAACAGCAAATTTCAAGAAGAAATTCTGAGTAAAGTTGCTAAATTCTACCCTCATGTCAAACATAATCTAAAGATGCAGATTTTGAATTTCACGTTATAGTAAAAGGAACATAAATGTTGTTAACATTTTTTATGTAACATTTTATATTCAACATGAAATATTCAAGAAGAGTTAAATCTCTAGGGGTTTGTACAGTGTCTTAGAAATAACGAAGTCACAGGTAGCTCCAGTTCGTTGTATCAAGAGCTCTTCACTAGTATCAAGGCAACACATAATGGATTGATATATACTACATATGGTGTAAAAAATATTCTCATCTCTTAAGGAATTTATAGGAACTCACCTTCATTGACTGAGTATAAGTCAGGGTTGAAGAAGAGAAGATTGTCGACCAGGTTGAAATTGAGTGCGAGGTAAAACTTCTTATCGACCTGTTCCTCCAAGACGCTGGGCTTGAAGGAGTTCAATTGAGTGCGAGGTAAAACTTCTTATCGACCTGTTCCTCCAAGACGCTGGGCTTGAAGGAGTTCAATTCAACCATAGTTACCTCCTCCTCGGCAACACCATCTGAGTTGAGGGGGTTCACCACCTGTGCGCACAAAATTGGGAAGCTTTCACTATTTGGTAACAAAATTTAAGAGGTTTATCTCCTATAAATACCGAATCTGAAAGTTCATATAATTTAGTCGGTCCACTACATGGAGACAGAATTTAGGGAGTTAACTACAAGAGAACCCAGTATAAGTAATGAGTGGACACGATTATTACATTATAGCTTAATAATAATAATATTAGTACATATGTATTATTGTAATAATAATGATTATTAATTTTTTTATTATCACACTGGCCGATTCCCACCAAGGCAGGGTGGCCCGAAAAAGAAAAACTTTCACCATCATTCACTTCATCACTGTCTTGCCAGAAGGGTGCTTTACACTACAGTTTTTAAACTGCAACATTAACACCCCTCCTTCAAGTGCAGCCTCCTAACTTCCATGCCAGGACCCAAGTCCGGCCTGCCGGTTTCCTGAATCCCTTCATAAATGTTACTTGCTCACACTCCAACAGCACGTCAAGTATTAACAACCATTTGTCTCCATTCACCTCCTATCAAACACGCTCATGCATGCCTGCTGGAAGTCCAAGCCCCTCGCACACAAAACCTCCTTACCCCCTCCCTCCAACCCTTCCTAGGCCGACCCCTACCCCGCCTTCCTTCCACTACAGACTGATACACTCTTGAAGTCATTCTGTTTCGCTCCATTCTCTCTACATGTCCGAACCACCTCAACAACCCTTCCTCAGCCCTCTGGACAACAGTTTTGGTAATCCCGCACCTCCTCCTAACTTCCAAACTACGAATTCTCTGCATTATATTCACACCACACATTGCCCTCAGACATGACATCTCCACTGCCTCCAGCCTTCTCCTCGCTGCAACATTCATCACCCACGCTTCACACCCATATAAGAGCGTTGGTAAAACTATACTCTCATACATTCCCCTCTTTGCCTCCAAGGACAAAGTTCTTTGTCTCCACAGACTCCTAAGTGCACCACTCACTCTTTTTCCCTCATCAATTCTATGATTCACCTCATCTTTCATAGACCCATCCGCTGACACGTCCACTCCCAAATATCTGAATACGTTCACCTCCTCCATACTCTCTCCCTCCAATCTGATATTCAATCTTTCATCACCTAATCTTTTTGTTATCCTCATAACCTTACTCTTTCCTGTATTCACCTTTAATTTTCTTCTTTTGCACACCCTACCAAATTCATCCACCAATCTCTGCAACTTCTCTTCAGAATCTCCCAAGAGCACAGTGTCATCAGCAAAGAGCAGCTGTGACAACTCCCACTTTGTGTGTGATTCTTTATCTTTTAACTCCACGCCTCTTGTCAAGACCCTCGCATTTACTTCTCTTACAACCCCATCTATAAATATATTAAACAACCACGGTGACATCACACATCCTTGTCTAAGGCCTACTTTTACTGGGAAAAAATTTCCCTCTTTCCTACATACTCTAACTTGAGCCTCACTATCCTCGTAAAAACTCTTCACTGCTTTCAGTAACCTACCTCCTACACCATACACTTGCAACATCTGCCACATTGCCCCCCTATCCACCCTGTCATACGCCTTTTCCAAATCCATAAATGCCACAAAGACCTCTTTAGCCTTATCTAAATACTGTTCACTTATATGTTTCACTGTAAACACCTGGTCCACACACCCCCTACCTTTCCTAAAGCCTCCTTGTTCATCTGCTATCCTATTCTCCGTCTTACTCTTAATTCTTTCAATTATAACTCTACCATACACTTTACCAGGTACACTCAACAGACTTATCCCCCTATAATTTTTGCACTCTCTTTTATCCCCTTTGCCTTTATACAAAGGAACTATGCATGCTCTCTGCCAATCCCTAGGTACCTTACCCTCTTCCATACATTTATTAAATAATTGCACCAACCACTCCAAAACTATATCCCCACCTGCTTTTAAACATTTCTATCTTTATCCCATCAATCCCGGCTGCCTTACCCCCTTTCATTTTACCTACTGCCTCACGAACTTCCCCCACACTCACAACTGGCTCTTCCTCACTCCTACAAGATGTTATTCCTCCTTGCCCTATACACGAAATCACAGCTTCCCTATCTTCATCAACATTTAACAATTCCTCAAAATATTCCCTCCATCTTCCCAATACCTCTAACTCTCCATTTAATAACTCTCCTCTCCTATTTTTAACTGACAAATCCATTTGTTCTCTAGGCTTTCTTAACTTGTTAATCTCACTCCAAAACTTTTTCTTATTTTCAACAAAATTTGTTGATAACATCTCACCCACTCTCTCATTTGCTCTCTTTTTACATTGCTTCACCACTCTCTTAACTTCTCTCTTTTTCTCCATATACTCTTCCCTCCTTGCATCACTTCTACTTTGTAAAAACTTCTCATATGCTAACTTTTTCTCCCTTACTACTCTCTTTACATCATCATTCCACCAATCGCTCCTCTTCCCTCCTGCACCCACTTTCCTGTAACCACAAACTTCTGCTGAACACTCTAACACTACATTTTTAAACCTACCCCATACCTCTTCGACCCCATTGCCTATGCTCTCATTAGCCCATCTATCCTCCAATAGCTGTTTATATCTTACCCTAACTGCCTCCTCTTTTAGTTTATAAACCTTCACCTCTCTCTTCCCTGATGCTTCTATTCTCCTTGTATCCCATCTACCTTTTACTCTCAGTGTAGCTACAACTAGAAAGTGATCTGATATATCTGTGGCCCCTCTATAAACATGTACATCCTGAAGTCTACTCAACAGTCTTTTATCTACCAATACATAATCCAACAAACTACTGTCATTATTAATATTGTTATTATTAATATTGTTATTTATTTAGGGCACTGGAGCACAGATCCACTGTATAGCACTTTGTCTGGTTTTTTGGGTTATCCTAGGTAATTTATACTATGTATGATAACTTGACTTACGTGTACCAGTGAGAGAGAGAGAGAGAGAGAGAGAGAGAGAGAGAGAGAGAGAGAGAGAGAGAGAGAGAGAGAGAGAGAGATACAGAGAGAGAGAGAGATACAGAGAGAGAGAGAGATACAGAGAGAGAGAGAGATACAGAGAGAGAGAGAGATACAGAGAGAGAGATACAGGAGAGAGAGAGATGATACAGAGAGAGAGAGATACAGAGAGAGAGAGAGAGATACAGAGAGAGAGAGAGATACAGAGAGAGAGAGAGAGATACAGAGAGAGAGAGAGATACAGAGAGAGAGAGAGATACAGAGAGAGAGAGAGATACAGAGAGAGAGAGATACAGAGAGAGAGATACAGAGAGAGAGATACAGAGAGAGAGAGAGAGAGAGATACAGAGAGACAGCCACATTCGGTCAGCCAGTCAGCCAACTACCCACCCACCCATCCAGCCACCCACCCAGCCACCCATCCACCCACCCATCATCCAGGCACCCACCCACCCAATCCAGCCACCCACCCACCCATCCAGCCAGCCAGCCGGATACGTATTACACATGTTCCAGAGTTGTTTCTCTTTACTTAGGGTATAGGTTATACTACATTCTGGCAGGATGACACTACCAGTGGTATTCTCCCATTCCACTGTGTCGACAATACATAAAGATAATACATGTAGTAACATATGATACTGCATGCGATGTAAAATTTACAATACAGGTCTCCCTCAACATTCACGTTTTCAACTTTCACGGGCTTCACACATTCGCGAATTCCCAACCGCCAAATTCCCAGCCGCCAAATTCCCAGCCGCCAAATCATATTTAAGTTTCCCGCCACCTGCGAGTCTCTACTACCCTCCCTCCGACCCCCGCAACTGGCAGCCAGCCCTCCCACCACTGTGTGGTGAGTGTTTTGTTTGTTCATTATTTGCTATTAAACTACAGTATAAATAATGTAAACCCATTCATGACTGCATATTGGAACGGCTATTCGGACAGGTATTAGACGGTGACATCATGTATTTACTCTTGAACACTGCAAAGAATTAAACATTTCTTCTACAGCTAATAATAACAATAGTAATAATAATAATAATAATAAATATGATATAACTGAAGAAGGAAATTGTACAAAAATACGAGGGAGTGGTTGACACATCGTCAGTGTGACTTTGTTTATGCTGGAGTGAACATTAGTCTCCCTGCTCTTCCAAACATTTCACAATAATTCATTGTATTTGGTGCTTGTAGATTGAGTGTGACTGGAGTGGTAGAGGCAGTGATTGAGGCAATGGTATTTAATAACATACATGTTAATAATAATACATGTTATTAATAATATGTACTATTATTATTTATAACATATATGTTATTAAATACATACATGTTAATAATAATACATGTTATTAATAATAACATGTACTATTATTATTTATAACATATATGTTATTAAATACCACTGCCTCAACCGCTGAATTATTGTGAAATGTTTGGAAGAGCAGGGAGACTAATGTTCCCTCCAGCATAAACAAAGTCACACTGATGATTTGTCAACCACTCTCTCGTATTTTTGTACAATTTCCTTCTTCACTTACATCATATTTATTATTATTATTATTATTATTATTATTATTAGTTATTAGTTATTATAATGTTCGATTCTTTGCTGTGTTCAAGAGTAAACACATGATGTCACCGTCTAATACCTTTCCTAATAGCCATTCCAATATGCAGTCATGAATGGGTTTACATTATTTATTCTGTAGTTTAATAGCAAATAATGAACAAACAAAACACTCACCACACTGAGTGGTGGGAGGGCTGGCTGCCAGTTGCGGGGGTCGGAGGGAGGGTAGTAGGGACTCGCAGTGGTGGAGTCTGTGTTATTTAATAACAGACATGTTATTAACATACATGTTATTAAATAACATACGTTATTAAAGCATAACATGTATATATTTAGTACAATTTACGACGTTTTCATGTATTTTATGATTATTCATGGTTCAACAAGTTAAGGAAGCAGTATTGTAATATATTAACCTACAATATATTGGGGCACCAAACATTCACGGTTTTTCAACATTCGCGAGGCTCTTGATCCCCTAACCCTCGCGAATGCTGAGGGAGACCTGTACATATCACTACCATGACACATCCCTGTTTAAGACCTACTTTTACTGGGAAGTAGTCTCCCTCTCTTGCAACATCTGCTGCATTGCTCCCCTATCCACTCTATCATATGCCTTTTCTAAATCCATATATGCAGTGAAAACTTCCCTAAATTTATCTAAATACTGTTCACATATATGCTTCAATGTAAACATTTGATCTACACATCCCCTACCCACTCTAAAACCTCCTTGCTCATCCACAATTCTACATTCTGTCTTACCTCTAATTCTTTCAATAATAACCCCACCGTACACTTTTCCTGGTATACTCAGTAAACTAATTCCTCTGTAATTTTTACAGTCTCTTTTGCCCCCCTTCCCTTTATATAAAGGAACTATACATGCTCTCTGCCAATCCCTAGGTACCTTCCCCTCTTTCATACATTTATTAAACAAAAATACCAACCACTCTATCACTATATTCCCCCCTGCAAATTACTTAGGATAACCCAAAAAATCTAAAGTACTATACTGTGCTTGTAGATATAAGGCATAATAAGCGTGACTGGCAAGTACGTAATATGCATTTTCACTTGTTCAGGAATCAGACGTGACGGCTCTGCATCTTGTGTAATATCTGTTGGTTCATGAGTGGCTCTCTCTGTTGGGACAGAAAGAGAGACAAGCAGGCAGAGAGACAGGAAGACAGACACACAGGGAGACAGAGACAGATAAGCAGAGACAGAGATAAACAGAGGCAGAGCTAGACAGACAGACAGACAGATATATAGGCAGACAAACAGATTGACAGACATGTTTATGTGTAACAGTGAAAACAAATAAAGCCAAGGTAGTGCACGATCATCAAATGTCACTCCACTGCTCTACTGTCAGCAGTGGAGTGACACTCGTCTTACACTGTGCCTCGAAAAGGTTCGAGGGAGGAGGTAAAGGAGGTTTTGTGGGCGAGGGGCTTGGACTTCCATCAAGCATGCGTGAGCGTGTTAGATAGGAGTGAATGGAGACGAATGATATTTAGGACATGACGAGCTGTTGGAGTGTGAGCAGGGTAATATTTAGTGAAGGGTTTCAGGAAACCGGTTATTTTTATATAGCCGGACTTGAGTCCTGGAAATGGGAAGTACAATGCCTGCACTTTAAAGGAGGGGTTTGGGATATTGGCAGTTTGGAAGGATATGTTGTGTATCTTTATACGTATTTGCTTTTAACCCTTTGACTGTTTCAGGCCCCTCTCTGAAACTGTCATTCTATGTCGCCAAATATTCAAAAAAAAAAAAAAATTATTTTTTCTTATGAAAATGTTAAGATTATTTTTCTGAGTGTTTTAGTCCAAAAAAAAAATTTTGCCATCGGTACTTACCGAGATATAGACCCGTGAAGTGTGCAGTAAATGAGCCTCGTATGGCCAAGAACCTCAACGGAATGGGATGGACCCCGGTGTCCTTTCCCCTACCTAGGAACTAGCGCGCCTGTGGGAGAAATCCCAAAGGCCAAAAAGAGGAAGGGCAAAAGGGAGGGGTGAGGAGGAGGAGGAGGAGGAGGAATGGAAAAAGGGGAGGATGGGATAGGGGAGGGGAGAATGGGGGGTAATTAGGTTCGGTCTGAGGAAGAAGACCAACAGGGCTAATTCCTCAGACCAAGAGCCTCTTCACCACGCCAAGGAGCCCCCCTTGAAGAGGATGTAGCTTAGAGCAGCTGGCATTTCTTCTCTTGGATAAGTGAATGTCAGTGTACAGTCGTCTGCATATGCATGTGATTCTGGGATGAGATGAAGAAGGTCGTTGAAGTAGACATTCCATAACAATGGACCCAGCACGCTTCCTTGTGGAACACTTGCCCCAATAGGATGTCTTGCTGATTCCATTCCATTGAGAACTACACTTAGAGATCTACCATGAAGGTAATCACTGAGGAGACATAGTGTAGAGCCTGCAATTCCCAGTGCTTGAAGTTTTGCTAAGAGGCCCTGGTGTCACACCCCGGTCGAAAGCGCCAGCAATGTCCAGTGCTACAACACAGCTGACTTTGGATTCATCCAGTGACTGGTGCCACTTAGTGGAGAGGTTTAACAACAGATAAGCAGCAGAGTAACCTTTCCTGAAGCCATATTGACGATCGCAAAGTAGTGAGTGGTAGTCAAAAAACTCTGTCATTTGTCTTGAGATTATTGTCTCAAGGATCTTACCAGTGATTGGCAGGAGTGACACTGGTCTGTAGTTGCTGATTTCTGCTCTGCTCTTCTTTTTGTGAACAGGGACTACATTTGCCTCTTTCCATAGAGAGGGTCATTTACATTGTACTAGGCAGTACTGAAAGATGCGAGTTAGAGGTGCTGCTAGCTGGTCTACACATCTCGGCAATCTTGGGCTCAACTTGTCTGGGCCCCCAGCCTTTTCTTGGTCAAGCGATTTAAGAAGCAAATGCACCTCCTCCTGCCTTATTGTCACCACTGACAGTTTTAACACAGTTCTTGCAGCTAGCCAAGAAGGGTCCCTTGCTGGATCAGGAACTTGCATTTTGGTAGCAAAGTGTTCAGCAAAGAGGTCCGCCTTCTCTTGACCACTAGTAGAGGTGGTCCCATCCAGTCAATTTAGAGGTGGAATGAGTTCATCAGGCAGATAACCTTGTCTGTCCTTGACCAGGGACCACCAGGTTTTGGAGCCTACCCTACCTGATGCTAGCTTTCTTTTAGTGTCCACCTCCCATTTAGCAATGGCCCACTTTTGAACGTCACCCATATGCCTACAGGCTTGTGTGTGCAAGTTCCTGTTATAGGTGGTAGGATGTCTCTTATACCTTCGTCAAGTCCTACTAGTAGCTCTCTCGTGGGATGGCCCTCCTAGGCCATGGGCACAACACACAAGCCTGTGTACCCACCACGACTTAACAATAAAGTAAGAAGCCTCCAAAGACGTATTCATATGTATTTATAAGTGGAAAAAAGGGTGTTCCACTTTACGGCGATTTCCGCTTTACGGCGGTAGCCTGGAACCTTACCTGTATGGTTTGTCGATACTCTCTGAAGATGTTGACACGAACCACTGCTTCATGAAAGTCCACATTAGTTGACTGGATGATCTCATAATCAGTTTCCTCCTCATATTCTAAAGCATCAAATCCTGAAAAATGCATTAACATATTAGGGACTGACTGCATTAGGGATACCAAGTAAAAGATCCTAAGTCTCCTATTACAGTACATCTCAAAGAATTTTGTTAAACAATCTTTAAAATAGTATTTCTGTGTTGGGCTGTGATGTTCCATGTAGGAGATGTGACTTGGCTGAAGATCTCTATTTCACTGGTATTAAGACTTCTTTGGAAGTGGAGAAATCAAGGGAAAAACCACGAATATTAAAAATGGGAGATCACAGTTGATGTAGTAAATCAGACAGATAAATAAGCATAGAAAAAGTTTACATTACGCCATAAGTGGAACTCAGAGAGGAGTATAAACAAAACAAGCATGTCATGGCAGTGAAGAAGGCATCTGAAAGTTAAATGCTCTCTGATGAGCAAGGCAATACAGTGGAACCTCTACTTAGGAGTTTAATCTGTTCCGTGACCATGCTCGTATTCCGATTTGCTCGTATTCCAATTTGCTCGTATGCTGAGTTAATTTTCCTCATTTAAATTACAATTGAAATAAAATTAATCTGTTCCAGCTCTCAGGAGGCACTACAAAATACTTCAATATTTTGCTAATATGAACTCTATGGCTTATTTATCTATCAAAATTCATCTAATATGATATAATAAACAATATAAATAACATAGAAACTTGCTATAAAGTCTAGAATAAATAAAATATGTCTATGTGACAGGTGGAAGCGGCCATAACTGTTCCCGCATTTTTGTGGTATTCACTGCCTTTTGAAGCCGTCTATTTTTTTTTTTTTTTACAAGTCTGCCATCTCCCACCGAGGCAGGGTGACCCAAAAAAGAAAAAATCCCATAGGACGCAGCGGCAGCGGCAGCAAAGGTATCCTACCAGCTCTTCTTTCTCAAAAAAACATCGCTCATCAAAACTTGTGATGGCCTAAGTGAAAGTTCAACTACATGAACCCACGTAGACCACAACAAACATGGCTGACTCTCCCTCCAACTCCACTCCCTTCAAAGGATTCACCCATGATAACTCAAGTATGATTATTCCTGACAATATCAAGGACTACATCGTTGCACTAGAAAATGAAATCAAAGATATCAAAGCAACACTCGAGCGACGAGAATCCAAGATAACCAAGGGACCCCCTAAGGACCACCAAAACCCTCCCCCCTCCCTCCCCCCTCTCCACCCCCTGTCCCTCCCCCCCTCCCTCCTCCCCCCTCCCCACCCACCCCTCTCTCCCCACCCCCCTGTCCCTCCCCCTCCCCTCTTCCTCCCCCCTCTCCCTCCTCCCCTCCCCCCCTCCCCCCCCTCCCCCCACCCCCACCCCCCTGTCCCTCCCCCCTCCCATCCCCCTCTCCCTCCCCCTCTCCTCCCCTCCCCCCTCTCCTTCCCCCCTCCCCCCTGTCCCTCCCCCCTACCCCCTGTCCCTCCCCCTCTCCCCACCCCCCTGTCCCTCCCCCTCCCCTCCCCATCTTCCTCTCCCCACCCCCCTGTCCCTCCCCCTCCCCTCCCCTCTTCCTCTCCCCACCCCCCTGTCCCTCCCCCCTCCCCTCCCCCCCTCTCCCTCCTCCCGTCCCCCCCTCCCCCCCTGTCCCCTCCCCCCTCCCCCCCACCCCTCTCTCCCTCCCCCTCCCTCCCCACCCCCCCGTCCCTCCCCCTCCCCACTCTCCTCCCTCCCCTCCCCTCTTCTTCCCCCCTCTCCCTCTCTCCCCTCCCCTCTTCCTCCCCCCTCTCCCTCTCCCCTCCCCTCTTCCTCCCCCTCTCCCTCTCCCCTCCCCCTCTCCCTCCCCCTCTCCCTTCCCCCCCCTCCCCTCCCTCCCCCCAAGTCGGCCATCTCCCACCGAGGCAGGGTGACCCAAAAAAGAAAAAATCCCATAGGACGCAGCGGCAGCGGCAGCAAAGGTATCCTACCAGCTCTTCTTTCTCAAAAAAACATCGCTCATCAAAACTTGTGATGGCCTAAGTGAAAGTTCAACTTTTGTTATTCGCAGTACGGAAGATTAAATATTGGATTGGGATTTGATTTAGTAAATTATAAAAAGCTTGATAAAATTTTGTGCCAGCATTCGCGGTTAGACTTAAAAGCTTAGTAAAAGTGTTTTAGTTTAGGTTATTCTTACGTTTAAAAGTGAATTGAAATTTATAGTAATAAAAGGTGAAATTGGTTTATTAGGAATAAATGGAAGTTGAATTATAAAGAGGAACAGACCTGGAAATTAAGATATAAACCAGGATTAGACACCCTATTATACTTAGAAGATAAAAATAAAAGCTTGAATATTAATAGATGTGGTCTTTAAATTCAAAGAATTTGGCGGTATTTTAGTCTTGTTAGAGGAACCTGTTCTGTAAATGATACAACACGAAGAATCTTACTTACTCTTGTTTAACAGTTTGTATACCGTCATTATCAGATAACATTTGTTGAGGTAGTTATTGAAACTTGAGAAGTTAAAGTATATTAGATCAAGGTGCAGTTTATGGGTGAGAAGAAATGGGTTACAATAAAATTTATTTATTACGTATCAGTAATAGAATAGTTTCTGTGAAGGGGGATTTAATTGTAACACATAATTTAGTAAGTTGGTGTGATATGAGAACTAAAGTATGTACATATCGCCCGTCACTTCCATTTAAGGTGGAATAAGTCGTAACATAGTAGGTGTACTGGAAGGTGTACCTAGAATTAAATTTACTTTGGCAGAGAATATGCGTTAAATTTAGAATTTAATTATATAGAAATTACTCTATAGGTAAAAGTATTGGAAATAGTGCTGTGATTATTACAATTGTGAGATATTTAATGTTGATAGTTTGTGTATTAGTTGGAGTTGCATTTGTAACTCTTCTGGAGTGTAAGATTTTAGGTTACATTCAAATTCGTAAGGGTCCTAATAAATTAGGTGTTTTAGGATTGCTTCAGCCTTTTTCAGATGCTGTTAAGTTGTTTATAAAAGAGCAGAATTCCCCGTCAGTGTCTAATTTTTTACCTTATTATTTATCGCCGGTATTTGGTTTATTTACTGCTTTAATTTTGTGAAGGGTTATTCCGTATGACTTAGGATTAGTAGATTTTGATATAGGTGTATTATTTTTTTTATGTTGTTTAAGATTAGGGGTCTACCCTTTGATAGGGGCTGGATGAGCTTCAAATTGTAAGTATTCTTTATTAGGAAGTCTTCGTGCTGTAGCACAAACTATTTCGTATGAGGTAAGGTTGGCTTTAATTTTATTATCTTATGTGTTTTTAGTTGGGAGATTTAGGTTTATAGAATTAAGATGTTATCAAGAAAGAATGTGATTTATTTGATTAACATTTCCGTTGTCTATGGTCTGATTGGGTTCTTGTTTGGCGGAGATAAATCGTACTCCTTTTGATTTTGCAGAAGGAGAGTCTGAGCTGGTTTCTGGATTTAATACTGAGTATAGGAGAGGCGGTTTTGTATTAATTTTTAAGGCTGAGTATGTCAGAATTTTGTTTATGAGTGGAGTATCCACATTATTATTTTTAGGGGGGAGAGTTTTAAGGTTGGGGTTTTATATAAAATTGGTGGTGGTCAGGTTTGCATTTATTTGGGTGCGGGGAACTTTACCGCGATTGCGATATGATAAATTGATGTATATGGCTTGAAAAAGGTTTCTTCCTGTATCCTTAAATTTTTTAATTTTTTTCTTAAGGGTGAAATTAATTTTAGTATAAACTAAATTTATGTGTTGGTGGATATTGGAAAAATCTTCCTTTAAATGTTTTCAAAACATCTGTTTTAAATAAACTAAATAGCCAGTCTAGGAGCAAATCTGTTAAAAGGGCAATTAAAGGGTCAGAAGCATAATAAGAAAAGTAAATGACAGTAAGAGCTTGTCCTGTAAAAATGTAAGGATCTTCTACAGACCGGGCTCCGATTCATGTCAATAAAATAATTGTGGAGATAAGAGTTCAAAATAGAAGCTGGTTTAAAGGATAAAAAGTTAGACCTTGGAATTTTGATAAGGAGGTGAATGGGAGAAATCAGAGGATTGCTACCGATAGGACTAAAGCAATAACCCCTCCTAATTTGTTTGGGATAGATCGAAGAATAGCGTATGCAAACAGAAAATACCATTCAGGTTGAATATGTACTGGTGTGACTAGGGGATTAGCCGGGGTGAAATTATCAGGGTCTCCAAGGAGGTAGGGGTTTAAGAGAGTCAGGAGGACTAGGAGTATAAGTATAACTAGAAATCCCATAATATCTTTAAATGTAAAGTATGGATGAAAGGGAATTTTGTCTAGGGAAGAGGTCATTCCTAGAGGGTTGTTGGCTCCAGAATGGTGGATGAATATAATATGGATAAGTGTTGCTGCGGCAATTAGAAATGGCAGCAGAAAGTGGAATGTAAAGAATCGAGTTAAGGTGGCATTATCAACTGCGAATCCGCCTCAAATTCATTGAACTAAATCTGTTCCAATATAGGGGATAGCAGAAAATAAGTTTGTAATGACGGTGGCACCTCAAAATGATATCTGTCCCCAGGGGCTTTAGGCTTGTCTTTGCTGGTTTCTATTGTTCGTTCACATGGTAATGATTATTTTAGGGGATTTGGAATTTTAGCATGTTAAAGTTTTTGGTGTTTAATTTGGTTTTAATAGGGTTTGTGATGAATTGAAGGTTAATTCAGGTTGGTCTATTGATAATATGCTTTGTGAGATTATTAATAATAAATCATGATTTTTGTTTTTTTTGTGTAGGTTATATAATAGGGGCTGACTATTTAAGGTGTATTTTGATTGTATTAAGAGTTTGAATTGTAATACTGATGATTTTCAGGAGGACTATAGTAAAGAAAATGGGTAATTTTTATGCAGGATTTTTGTTAGTGAACTTGATTTTGTTGTTAGTTTTAATTTTAACTTTTAGGTCAGTAGATTATCTGATGTTTTATATTAGATTTGAGAGGTCATTAGTTCCAATACTTGTATTAATTTTAGGTTGAGGCTATCAACCTGAGCGAATTCAGGCTGGAATTTATATACTGTTCTATACTTT